GCACTATCGCCGAGTTGTCCATTAATATTGTCATTATCTTGGTTTGTGAATTGCCATTACCATTATGATGCGTGCCATCATTACGATTGTCATTAATTGTCAGCAGCATTCGTCATCAATATCGTCATCGTCGTCGTCACACATCAGTCAATCATCGTCATCATCATCACTGCATCATCATCATCATCATATATCATGCATCTTCGTCATTGTCGTTGTACATTATCATTTCGTCATGCACCATCATCATCCGTCATCATCATTGCAAGCATCGTTTCATCATCGAATCGTTCATCTATCAAATCGTTCATACCGACCTCATCAGCTGCCTGTATTGGATTATACTACTCAACTGCGTAACCATATACTGATTGCATCTCCCTTCATCCATCGCTATGAGGATGCGAGCCGGGGGTGAAAAGGTGGGTCATCACCCGCCTCCACCCACGAGGCGCTGCGCGCGCCCGTCCGTCCGCCTGCCGCGCCGCCGCCTGCCCCCGCCGCCCGCCCCGCCCGCCCGCCGTCCGTCCGTCCGCCTGCCCGCCCGCTCACCGCCGCGCAGGCTGCCTGCCTCGCCACAATCGAGCACGGCGTCCATCATTATTGCCGATTTGATCGGCAGCAGGGGTCTTCTCTAGTGCGCGCTCTCTTCTCTCGATCTCTTCGTCTATCTCTGTCTCTCTCTTCTGTATCTCTTCTCTCTCTTCTCTCTCTTCCGTCTCTGCTCTCCTCTCTCTCTTCTCTCTCTCCTCTATCGTCTTCTCTCTGCTCGTCTCGTCTCTAACTCTCTCGTCTCTGCTCTCGTCTCTCTGCCTCCCCTTCCCCTCTCTTCCTTTCTCTCTTCTCTCATCTCTCCTCATCGCTCGTCGCTTCTTTTCTCTCCCCTCTCGGTCGTTCGCATTCTCGTCTCTTCCCCTCCTCGTCTCGTTCGCTCTCTCTCTCCCCTCCTCTCTCGCTATTGATCTCTCTTTCTTCTGTGGCTAGTCCTTACTGTCGCTCTTGCTCTCTCACGCTCACTGCTCTCTCCCCTCTCCCGCCTCTCTCCCCTCGTCTCTGCGGCCGCATGTCTGTAATTGGAGTGGTGGGTATCTGCGGGAGACATATTAGAGGCCCCCATGTAGGCACTCAAGCCAGATGATCGCAGTCCGCAGCATCGCTGCTGCTGCTGTACTGCTGCTGCTACTACTCACTGCTGCTACTGCTGCTGGCTGCATGCTGCAACTGGCTGCTGCTACTACTACTGCTGTTTGCTACTGCTGCAGCTGCTGCTGCTGCTGCTGCACTCGTGCTGGCTGCTGCTGTGACTGCTGCCTGCTGCTGCTGCGCTGCTACTGCTGGCTGCGTGCTGCTGCTGCGCTATGCTGCTCTGCTTGCTGCTACGTACTGCTACTGCTGGCTAACTGCTGCTGCTGCTGCCTGCTTGCTGCTGCTGCTGCTGCTGGTGGCTGCGTGCTACTGCTACTACTACTACTACTGCTGCTGCTGTTGGCTATACTACTACTACTGTCTGCTACTACTACTCTGGACTGCTGGCTGTGCTGCTGCTGCTACTAACACTGCTCCTGCTGCCAGCCGCTGCTACTGCTGCTGTCGGCTGCTACTGCTACTGCTGCTGCTGCTGCTCGCTGCTGAGCTGCTGGTGCTGCTGCTGCTGCTACTCTACTACTACTGGCTGCTACTAACTGACTACTACTAGCGCTACTACTACTACTACTCTGCCGCCCTGCTGCTGCTGCTGCTGCTGGCTACTACCTACTGCTGGCTGCTGCGGCTGTGTGAGGGGGCCTTCGTAACGAGAGATGAATGAAACCAACAGACGACAGGCCATTCCCAACAATACGTTCGTAATCGTAGAAACGCGCTTTCCGCCTGCATCCACGAGGTTCATATTCGCTAGTGTCGAACTCTGGGCTTTGATTTGATTTGAACAAACCACAAGATGGTTATGGGTAATAGGCGATTGTATTTTATACAGTTGTTGCATCTGTTCATACATACGTACTTATGTCTGTACAATACGTGTATCTACGTACTTATAATCTGTAAAAATACGTGTATCTCCGCTACATTAAGTACTTATGTCTGTACAATACGTGTATCTACGTACTTATATCTGTACAATACGTGTATCTACGTACTTATATCTGTACAATGTATGTCTTGTACATGTATACATGTATATTTATATGTACTTGTACATGTATACATGTATATGTATATGTACTTGTACATGTATACATGTATATTTATATGTACTTGTACATGTATACAATATGTATATGTATGTACTTGTACATGTATACATAATACATGTATAATGTATATGAACTTGTACATGTATACATGTATACATAATGTATTATTAACCTCTGATACTATCAAGAGCGTATAAAGAGCCTTCTTTATCTGCTCTTGATACTATGTAGATGTGTTTAGGATAGCACCAATGTCCTTCCCTCTATGATGGCAGCAGTGGCCGTGGGCAGTGTCTACGACAGCGTGGCGGGGTGGCGCGGTAGGGGGAGGCTGGTGGCCCATAGGCTAGCAGCAGGCAGGCAAGCTGGCTGAGTCACACGGAGGGGGAGAAGGGAGGGAAATTACTAGCGATTGTCGCCGCGTGCGCTCGATTCGCTTTTTGCATTATGTCGTCGTCGTCGTCGTCGTCGTCGTCGTCGTCGTCGTCACGGCAGCGGCAGCAGCAGACGACGCAGCAGCGGCGGCGACGTCCACGCGTCGATAAACGTTTAATCAATCCCCGCGGAATTGAATGCGGAAAAATGACGAGCCGTTGATGGCATGTTTTTTTTATATATTTCGGTTCGCCGTCGCGGTCGAAGGGAGGGGGGGGTTATTGCATGAGTGAGGGGGTGGCAGAGGGATGGGGATGGTAGAGGGAGGGGGATGGCAGAGGGAGGGGGATGGCAGAGCGAGGGGATGGTAGAGGGAGGGGGATGGCAGAGGGAGGGTGACGGGAGAGGGGAGTGAGAATGACTCCACTGGAGAGGCTAGAAGTGGCTCCTTATTTGCTTTGGTTGCCTTTTTTGATTGTCGTGGTGCCACTTGGTCGATATTCACGATGGAAACCACCGTGGATGCCCTAACTTGATTTATTTTCATGCACTTTCCATGAATCCCAGGTTCTGTACGCATTCCTCTATGCGCCGCGTAAAAAGTGTTGTGAGAAAGGAAGTTGTTTTGATAATGTTTGCCAGAATTTCAGATTAAACCAAAGACAACACTTGCTTTGTAAGAAATAACATATTTGCCTCCTGTCGTTGTTACGATATATGCAGCCCACGTGGAAAAATACATAGATAAGATAAAATAAATAATTTCAATGAAAATAAAATTAATTAAAACAAAATAATGAAAAAAAAAACGATTACAGTAGTAAATGTATAATGAAATAAAAATAAAACATTTCTATTTTCGATCGAACCCCTTCTCGCCAAATTCTCTGTGTGTGTCTCTCTCTCACCCTCTCTTTCTCTCTCTCTTTCTCTCTCTCTCTCTCTCACTCTCTCTCTCTCTCTCTCTCTCTCTCTCTCACCCTCTCTCTTTCTCTGTGTGTGTCTCTCTCTCACCCTCTTTCTTTCTCACTCTTGCTCTGTCTTTTTCTCTCCCACTGTCCTTTCCCTCTCCCTCTCCCACTCTCCTTCTCCCACTTTCTCTCTCTCTAACCCTCTCACACCCTCTCCGTCTCTCTCTCATCCTCTCTCTCTTTCACCCTCTCCGTCTCTCTCTCACTCCCTCTAACGCTCTCTCTCTCTGCTGCAGGTCAAGGCGCTGGACAACGGGCGGCCGCAGCTTAAAGCGTCCGTGCGCGTGCTGATACAGGTGATGGACGCTCCGACCGCGCTCTCGCCGCACGCTCCCGTCGTCGCGGCGACCAACGTCAGCGTCACCGTCATGGAGAACGATCGCGTCGGACAGCTCGTCGCCATCGTAGAGGCGGCAGACGAAGATTACGACCAGCTGTGGTACTCCATCACCGGTAGGTGGCGCTGTGCGGCGGGGCGGGGTTGGGCCGGGGCAGGGCGGGGCGTCGCCATCGTCGAGGCGGCAGACGAAGACTACGACCGGCTGTGGTACTCCATCACCGGTAGGTGACGCTGTGCGGCGGGGCGGGGTTGGGCCGGGGCAGGGCGGGGCGTCACAATCGTCGAGGCGGCAGACGAAGACTACGACCGGCTGTGGTACTCCATCACCGGTAGGTGGCGCTGCTATGGCGCGGCGATATGGCTAGGCGACCAAGCACTGCAATCTGTCACCTGTTGCTCATGATGACCTGTGTGTTCTTTATGACTGCAGTCTGTT